CAAGTTTCAGTTGTTGGCAGACTCAGACCTCTCCACCGAAAAATGAAGGGCTGGCTGGCAAATTTTCCCTTTCAAAAATTTAGCATCTTTATCATCATCATTGTAAGCTTTACTTACAATGTTCTGCTTGAGAGGGACGTGCTCTGCTCCTGCAAAGATGATTCCTTTAACTGCGCTGTGTATATGGTTGGACCTACTCTCATCATTTTTTTCCTGATGATCTGCATAGACAAGATTTTTCTAAAAGCCTGCAGATTTGAATGTACCTGTGTCTGCTGCGGACAGAATGAGCAGGAACAAAACGACCAAAGACAGAAAAATCAAGAACAAAACAACCAAGTGGAGAACAATCAAGAGAACAATCAAGAACAAAACAATCAAGGAGATAATAATCGAGAACAAAACAACCAAAGACAGAACAACGAAGAGAACAATCAAGTACAGAACAACCAAGAACAAAATAATCAAGGACAGAACAATCAAGAGGAGAACAATCAAGAGAAGAACAATCAAGAACAGAACAACCAAGAACAAAATAATCAAGGACAGAACAATCAAGAGGAGAACAATCAAGAGAAGAACAATCAAGAACAGAACAACCAAGAACAAAATAATCAAGGAGATAATAATCGAGAACAAAACAACCAAAGACAGAACAACGAAGAGAACAATCAAGTACAGAAAAACCAAGAACAAAATAATCAAGGACAGAACAATCAAGAGGAGAACAATCAAGAGAAGAACAATCAAGAACAGAACAACCAAGAACAAAATAATCAAGGACAGAACAATCAAGAGGAGAACAATCAAGAGAAGAACAATCAAGAACAGAACAACCAAGAACAAAATAATCAAGGACAGAACATTCAAGAGGAGAACAATCAAGGAGATAATAATCGAGAACAAAACAACCAAAGACAGAACAACGAAGAGGGGAACAATCAAGAACAGAACAACCAAGAACAAAATAATCAAGGACAGAACATTCAAGAGGAGAACAATCAAGAGGAGAACAATCAAGAAGAGAACAATCAAGGAGATAATAATCGAGAACAAAACAACCAAAGACAGAACAACGAAGAGGGGAACAATCAAGAACAGAACAACCAAGAACAAAATAATCAAGGACAGAACAATCAAGAGGGGAACAATCAAGAAGAGGCAGAAAATAATCAAAGACAAAGAACCCAAAATACCCTTTTCTGTGGATTATTGGTTTATCGCAGTTTTAAAGCATTTCTAGTCAGCCTCCTGTGGGGGATCTCGGTGCTAATTGATGGAGACTGGTTTCTTTGCTGTTTGAGTCAGACAGATTTAGCCTGCCAAGATCCAAACACCTACACATCTGAAAATAAATCAACAATTGCACATCAGAAGAGTACATCTAGGGTAAGTAATTTATTTAGCAGCAGATTTTATTACATTATTGTATATACCTTCTAATGATATAACTAAATACCAGCACCTCTCTTTTCTCCTTTCAGAGCTTTGGATTTGGGGTTCTTCTCTTTATCTTTATAGTGTTAGCTGTGATTTCAGCATTTGACTGGAAAAAATGTTGTAAATGTGACAAAAAACGGATCTATTATGAGTTGATTCTTGGAGAAAGCAAAGGTGTCCTGCATACTACTTTAAAAGAAGCTGCGAGAAATGATATGACTGAACGAATCAGAATGAGAAAAAATGATGAAAAATGGGAAAAATGTTTTGATGTCCATGTAGACATGATCAGAAGTTCCTGCAAACCAGAACATATCAACGACCGGAGTAGAGACGGGATGGACATCTGGATCCAGAACTGAGTCAAGAAGACTTGATGTCAATGATTGGTGGTATTAGGGTTGGGTCTCTAATTAGAGGAATGTTTTTCTTTATCTGTTAAAGCTATAGTGGACTAAAGCTTTGGTTTCTCTGAGACATTTAGCATCTTTTATTCTCAAGCCTGACCTTAAACCTTGGTTAAACAATTTTCTTACTTTTTTCAATTAATGTGTTTATTGTTTTGTGATATGTTTGGCTTTTATGGGTTAACACATTTTAAATTTGCTCATAACTAACAGTGTGCTTCTTTTGCAATACCTGCTTGCTCTGTTCTATTGATTATACTCACCTGTTTTGTGTTATTAAAGTCAATGCCTTCAAGGCGCTCCCTTGTCTGGTTCTCTGTTATCATCGAGTCTCTTTGGTTTTCCCTGTTTATTCAATTTTTCTTCACAATCATGTGCCTGTTAATGTCTGCTTACAACAAATTAGTCATTCCCCTCTACAAATTAATATTAAGGCTTTAATTATAACAATCTTTTGTCATTTATTTGGAATAAAAATCCAAAACAAATTTAACATGTTCTTCTTTTCACATCATATCCTGAGATTGTATTAATATGAAAAATTAAATGAGATCAATTTGTCTCCATTTCCTTATTTATAAAATTTTATTTATTTCACTGAATGTGTGAACAGTGCAGGCGCTGCAAGGAACCCAGATATAAAAAAAACTTTGTGCACAGTCACATAAGCCATGGTGCAGAGTAGGTGTTATTACAGAGGGCATGTGTTTGAAAACTGCATGAAGGATGTTTGGCCAGACGCCACTGTGGTTCTATTTTGCCCTCCTACCTCGCTTCCTGGTTATACTCTTACAGCAGTGTGTTGCAGTGAGCTTGATGCAGACATTTTTAAATTATGCTCAATATTGCAGCGTGGTCTGCTCTACACGCTGTGGGTCTAGATACGGCCGAGGCGGAGAGGAAGTGGGGGCGAGTTTAGTCCGACGACGGAGGGACATGAGGGCCAAAAAGAGCGGAGATCCAGGTGGAAAAAGGGTCCCAGCGTTCTCGCGCACCTCGCTCTTCTAGCGGGTCAAACTTCATGAGTTGTTTTCCGCAATTTCGATAAAAACAAAACAAGCCGGCCTCTCCGGCACTGTTTGCGGTCAGCTACAATTAGGGAGAGTAGCAGCGGAGCGTCTGTGGAGGGGGCGGGACGTCTGGAGCCGAGCTATTGCATTGCACTCATTGCATTGATTTTCTTTTTTTGATGCCTGGCCTTTCAGAATCTATAACACAGGGGTATTATTATTTTTCAGTTAATGAGGTTTTAATAGGAATAGGTGGAGTGCAAGTTTTCTACTTCTATTATTTGATGTCGTTTCTAAAAAAAATGCATAACGATATTAAAGCTTTCATTGATTTATTTCAGATATGAAACAGAGAAAAAAAAAAGACCAATTAATCGAATCGTATCGTGGTGTATTCTTGAGTATCGAAATTAATTGAATCGTTGGGTCAGGAAATCGATACTGAATCGAATCACCATGATGGGTGTGATTTACACCCCTAGTGTTGGAGCTCAATGGGAGCAAAGGGGCTCCACCTATTGAGGCTGTGGTCCTCCGCAAAGCTGTTTCAGGTTTGACTCCTGGATCTGGAGCATCTACTGTATGTCTTCCCCTTCTCTCTCTGCCTTCCTTTAAGTCCCAATACTAATAAATACAGCCCAGTACTGTCAGAGTAACCCTGGACCAGCTCTTCTGGGTTTATATGTGTCAGCCTGGTTCTGTTGGATGCCTCCTGTTTGTTCTCTTCACTTTTGGATTCTGAGTATTACTGACTGCAGCAAAGCCAACGCAGCAGCACCATCTACTGGGCTTTCTTAGATAGAATCATTTTAACCTGTTTGAATAAAAAATTGGTGTTTAACTGACTATGTAGCTAGAATCATTGTATAAGCATGAAATGAATAGAAATTATTTTTTTTCATCTATATATTTACTGTGAATCAATACTATAAAGAACGAATATGAAGTGAAACAGACTTTATAATTCAGGATTTAAAATCCTCCTTCTCACATATAAAGCCTTAAATGGCCAAGCTCCATCTGATATCAGAGATCTGATTGTTCCTTATGTTCCTAACAGAGCACTTCGCTCTCAATCTGCAGGTTTACTAGTGGTTCCTAGAACTTCTAAAAGTAGAATGGGAGGCAGATCTTTTAGTTATCAGGCTCCTCTCCTGTGGAACCAACTACCAGTTTTAGTCCGTGAGGCAGACACCCTGTCTACTTTTAAGGCTAGGCTTAAAACTTTCCTTTTTGATAAAGCTTCTAGTTAGAGTGGCTCAGGTTATGCTGATCTATCTCTATAGTTCTTCTGCTATAGGCTTGGACTGCTGGAGGACATAGGGACCCCTTTTTCATCATTCTGCTTCATTCTATCTCCATTCTCCCACTCTGCAGAATCTGTTAGTTCAATCTCTAACGTTCTGCTCTCTCTGCTTTTTCTCATAGTAGCTTCATCTGGTCTGTTCCTGTTTGGCTGTGACTCCATCCTGGAGAGAAATATCAGCTGTGCTGCTGCCATCAACACCTTTGTTTCTAGATGTTGGAGCTTGGCCTGTTTTCCAGTGTAGTCCTGTTTCTCTGACTGTGACTAACTGGATGTGCTCTCTTCATCCTCTGACATGGGAGCTGGCTCGGAGCTCGTCTGCCTGGCTGTGTGTTTCCTGGACGGGGCCGCCTGTGGAGCTGGTTGACAGTTGCCTTTAGTATCTATGCTTCTTTTTCTATGTCTGCTTCTGTCTCCTTGAACCCCAGTGGGCCTCAGCAGATGGCCGCTCACACTGAGCCTGGTTCTGCTGGAGGTTTCTTCCTGTTCAAAGGGAGTTTTTCCTCTCCACTGTCGCTGCAAGCATGCTTAGTGTGAGGGATTGCTGAAGAGTCAATGAGTCGATGCAATCAGCTGGTTTTCCTTAGATAGAAAACTTTGAATCAATCTGACTGGATGATCTGGTGAACTGGAAAGTGACCTGAGATGACATGATGTGAATTGAAGCTATAGAAATAGATTGAATAGAATTGAATGTTTATGTCCGTTTCCTCAGTAGAAAGATATTTATAGAGGAAACTTTGACACGTTCAGAGCTTCTTCTCTCAGCTTTAATCTTCGTGACTCGGATGTTTGCCGACTCAGCAGCTCTTAAAATCAGGAAGTGGATCGTTCAGTTTGGTTCTGGTCCAGAGGACATAAGCTGCAGGCGAGCAGCAGATTTCAGTCTCAGGCTGGAGATGGAGAGCACTCAGAGCAGGTTGCCTTGCAGAGGGTTCTGCACCTACTTTGCAGTGTTTGTGATCTTTGTCTATCTGGGTGTGAACTTCAACTGCTCCTGCACCCCTCAGGGATGGAACTGTAAGCTGTTCCTGGTCCTTCCACTCCTCATCACCTTCGTGTTCTTGCTGTGGACAGACTCGTCTTTCCAGAGAACCAGCAGACACCTGCTGCTCTCATCAGACTGGAGCTTCTTGACGTTTTCCTGCAGGTACATCATCAGAGCAGCATTTGTGGCCCTGCTGTGGGTGGTGTGTGTGCTCATCAATGGAGAGTGGTACGTTTGCTGTATGAGCAACCAGACCACCCAGGCTCCGTTAGCCTGTAAATCTGCAGGGATGATCACTGAGGAGGAGCAGAAGACTATTGCTGAGCTGAAGAACACGTCCTGGGTGAGAACCTTTATTCTGCTTCATGTGAGTTTAAATGCGACAGAAAACAGCTTTGATCATTTCTGTCTCTCGTTCAGATGATCGGCACTGGTTTGCTCTGCGGCATCATTTCAGTTCCAGCTCTGTTTGCCATGTTGGGATGGTCCAAACAGTCAGCGAGGGAGAGAAAGAACTTCTACCACAAACTGATCCTGCAGCAGAACCAAAGCGTCCTGAAGGAGACTCTGGGGAATTATGCCAGAGAGAAGCTGTCCAACGAGATGAAGAGGAGAATCGAAGATGGTCGATGGGAGGAGTGCTGGGATGTGGCCCCAATGCTGATCAGAGAGTCTGCTGGAACCGCAGCTCCTGAACATCAACAGCAGGGGGCGCAAAGGCGGAGACACACCTGACAGAGATCCTCTGCACTAATTCCTGCTGCAGCTACTGGTTTAATAACGGCTTATTATTAATAATATGAAGATATATAGATAATCTAGATGCAAACATATGAACGTATGAAATACAAGATCGTGTTTTTTACTTTGCTTTTATTACAAGAAAGGTGATACTCTGGAAGAGATAAATCTCTCAAAATAAATCCTAGAATAAAAAAGTTAAGAATAAAAAGAAATCATAAAGCAATGATAATATTTAGAAATCAAATTACTAAATGTATAAAAAGTACTGAATGTACTTATATTGATTATGTAAATCTGACAAATGTGTGTTGATGTTAGAGCTTTAAACCAAAGTTAAATCGTTTGTTCAGAAATCTGGGCGGAAATAATTTAAATATATTCAAATAAAAATAAACTTCTGATGTGATTTTTTTTACCAATCTGACTTAATTGTCTCAGTAAAGTTCATTGAGATGACATCCATTATGAATTACCACTTTATAAATAAACTGAGTTAAATTGATTGTTGATTATTCAGCTGTAGATTTAAATCCTGTGTTGTACCATATGCCATGATCATACTTTTTGGACATTGGGAAGCAGTGTCCATATTTCATCCTGATAGAATTACCAGAGAAGAAAACGCAGCTTTGGTGAATAACAGCTGGGGGACTTCTGCAGCCCCCCTTTTTCAGCCAAAGCAGTCACATGGGAGCCACCAAAGGTGTGAAAACCTACCCCCTCCCTGTGAGGACAGAGAAAACCACAAAGCACACAGGATTCTGCCTCTTTTGCCTCTTCTCTCTTTCTCCCTCGTCTGATCCAGCCTGCTTCTGCTCCTGCGCTCAAAGCTGGGGCCCACTGTGGCCCACAGTGGAGATGCAGGCCCCAGGGGAACCAGATCCCCAGAACCATCAAGGATGAGTCAGAACTCTTCAGAACCTAACTGCTGCAGACAGAACTTTTGCAACACATTTCTCTTGAGTTTTAGAACTTACAGAGCCAAACTGGATGAAGACCATGCCCTGGGTTTGAGACTGAGGGGACCCCTGCTGTGAGACTGAGACAAAGAACCCCTGACTGCAGAGCTGCAAAACTGGATGAAACTCAAGCTTTCCAAACGGACATGGAAAAAGGTTTGCAGGTCTGGCATGATTAGGGACAGAACAAGCAATGTGTCTTTTGATGATGCTAATCATATCATGTGTTTACTGCTGAGTAAAGGCAACGCTAATTAATGCTAAAGAATGGACTGCATGCTACGCTATGCTACAGGAATATATGTTGAGCTGTTGCTAAAGCTTAGACAAGCTTTATTCACTAAGGATTTAAACACTGAAATAACATTAGTGTTCATGTGTTCCTCAAATGCTCATTACATTTCCATTACTAAGTATGACCAAGAGTCATTTAGTGGATTCCTGATGTCTATTCGCTGCTAGCTATTTCAAAGAGGGTAAAGAATCATTTAACTAAAGGTTTTTGGTTCTTAATTAAGCAAATCATTCAATAAAACATTATTTAGCCAAATAATGTTTTATTCACCTCATGGATTTGCATTGTGAATTGGTCTGAAAACATTCCAATTTCTTTAAAATTAGTGAAAAGCTAATTTGATCAGATCCCAAATTCTTCCAGATAAACTTTGGTTTCAAACACAGAATCCATCTTAAACTGTAATATGTTTTTCAACCGTTTTCCCCTTCCTCTTTGTACATAGTAGTTAGTTTAGTTTAGTTGAGTTTTACTAGTCTTAGTTGAGAGTGTTAAACTGAAATATGTTTGACGTGGAGCTGAATGATTTTTGTTAATAAAATCTTATATTTTGAACAGAAGTTGTGCTGAATTTATTCCATGTATGTGCAGAAATAACTGTTAGACCATGATTAGTGCTCGAATCACTCTTTCATCTATTGTTATAACACACAGTTAGTAGGACTGTGTGTCATAAACAGTATAGAACAGCTGAAATAATATCTGATTAAATAAGATATTTTACCACCCCTACAGGGGAGGGCAATAAACATCTTAAAGTATCAGAAACATAAATTCCCAGCGGGCTGGGAAAAGAATTTAACTATAGAATCACAACATAAATATGGCGTCCCTGATTGCTGGGCCCATTAATTGTAACATTTATTTAGCGTCCCATGTTGCTGGGCTCATTGAATGTAACATTTAATTGGTGTCTCAGTTTGGTGGTCATCGAATATAACAGTCATTCTGCACATATATGAGAATAAACTTAGAGCCATTATTGAAAACCGTGTGAAAGCATTAACATCAGCTCTCACAAATCAATAATGAAATCTTAAACTCACAACTTAAGAATCCAATACTAAATGTCTTAGCTTATATGAGAAGAAAATATAACCTTTGACATTCTTGGAGCATCAAAATATAGAAAATTTTACTAAATCTAATAACTCCAAAATATCTCTTCAGCTGGTGATAACCAACTTTACTTCAAAGCAAAACTCAGATGATTCAAATCAATCTGATCACTTTGGTCCAACTAAAACTAAAAGATTTAACACCCAAGTTAATCTTATCGTTCGACCAAAATTTAGGCACATCTATAACTAGATGCTGCTTTTTGTGGTTTCTATAACCACATCCCAAAAATGAAAACTCCCAAGTTATGCTATTTCAAAGTCACCTCCAGTCCAAAATAGGTTAGATGCCCTGAAATTTAACCTAAATCCCTTTGTCTATTAGTCTGATAAGACTCTTAAACACTTATTTTATATTGTGTAGAACAAGATTTGTTGCCAGATTTAACGTAAGTTAATCTGTGGTCCTACCCGACCAAAAGGGAGTGGATTCGAAATTAAATTGCTTAAAATCTCTTAAAGAAAGGTGAATCATAAGCTAAATTGATAGTAAAACCTTAAAGGTTAGGCTTTGCGCCAAACTGCTTATAAATCCTCCAAGACAGGTAAAGCATGCGCTAAAATAGCTGGTAAATCCTAAACAAGGTGTAGCATTTCTAACACTGAAAGAAAAGTGTTTCTTTGATATCACAGGTTTAAAGATAACCTGTGACCCGTTTCTACACACATAAAAATAAGTCATTACAATATGTATATGTAAACATACAAGTATAGTGGGTACTGACTGGATTGTGTTCTTTTGAAATTTCTTCATAACTTGTGTTTTTGTGCCATCAGCTGAAAATGGATCCAAGCATCCTCAATTCTGGGCACACCATTGATTCCATAGGCATAGAGAAACAGAAACAAATTGTTGCAAAGCTTATCCACTTATCTCCAGAAAAGCAGGATAACCTAAACAATTTTAACCTCAGCCTATGTGAAGAAAAGATTCAAGAATTATTTAACTTAATTCAAAACCCAAATGAAAACTTTCTGATAACAGATGTACTCTGTGAGCTCACGTTACTTTATCAGCTTAAATACCAAATAAAAGCTAAACAGTACTCTGAGTTAGAAGCCAAATATCAGATGATCTGCCACAGAGTAAGTGCTGCAAACATTTTATTGTCAGGAGCTGACAAGATCAAAGACCCATGTGGCCAGACTGACAATGCCTCAGAACAAATGGTGACCCCCCTCTCTGAGGAGCTATGCAATAAACAAAGCAAGCAGACTTTGAATCAGCAGGAGGTCACCCCAGTCAAAAGGAGAACAGTTCCTGAAGCAGATACAAAGTCTCTTAACTCTGAGTTAACACTAAATAGATCTGAAGATGTTCAAAGTCAAAGTAGTGTCGTAGACAGAGAGAAACAAGTAGATCACTTGGTAAACTCAAGCGGTTTAAAATTTTGCAAAGGACAGCCATGCAAACCAATCTCTGTCTCACACTCTCTTGACCGAGCATCAAGTGCCAAAGTTCACAGCCTGAAAAACTCTGAGGAGAACCAGTCTCCCTTGTGTCATCAAAGGTTAGCTCAAAACCCCCCACCACTTAATGAGCAGAACCAGCTTCCTGATGGGCCAGGCCCACCGAGTGACCATAGAATTCAACAAATGGAATCCTTGGCCAAAGACATTGATATTTTTGACCCAGAAAATCAACACTCCAACATAGCTGATTATCTGCAAGAAGTTGAGCACTGTCTAAAAGACTTGCCATTTCCTTCTTCTCGTGAGAAATTGAAGCTGATTTGGAAAACAACAGCTAGAAGCGTCCATGTTTTCATAAAATCTCTTCCTCCAAAAATCAGAGAAAGTTATTCAGCTCTTTGTCAAACCTTAAGAGAAGAATATTCTGGTTACAGAGATCCGGCGTTAGCAACGCTTCAGGCATCTTTAGTTTTCCAAGGAGAACATGAAACACCCAGAGAATATTACTTTCGCTTGAGACAGGTTTATTTTGAGGGCTGCAGTTCTCCAGATATTGACGAAGAAGATCCCACATTTAAAGCATTGTTCAACCAAAATCTACATGAAAGTGTACGATATGATGTAGCAATGCATTGCAGGATAGAGAACCTTTCTATGCAGGAAACTCGCAGATATGCTCAGCTTGTTTGGGAAATACGTCATCAACAAGCTACAGAAACAACCACAAAAGAAAACTTAGAACAGATCTGCAAAACAGTTCTTACAGAGCTACTGGCTTCTCTGACCAATCACAAAGTACTACAATTCCAAGCTAATGGTAAAACTTATCATATCCAAGAGTATGATAGTTGCTGATAATTTCTAACATACTTCAACCTGTTTTATCCTTTCTTTCTTTTGTTTTACAACTTGAGAAATGATGAAGGTCGAACAACAGCATCATGAAGGTGTTAGGAAATTTTGTTTGGAATGTATATATTTGTGTATCAGGGTCAGACTTTCCTGCCAGACCTGCTTCAACCAGACGCAAAACCTCTGGAGAAAATGAACTGTTTTATGATAAGATAGGGTCAGCTTCTGCCAGACCTGCAACAAATCATCCAGGGACAAAAACTGGAGAAGATATGAACCCTAAATGAACTTCCTGCCAACAGGAACCTGACTCATCACCGCTCCAGATATCATGGCTTTATGGAGCTATTTGTGATCTGAAAACAAAGAACTGCATCTTTTATTTCCAGATCAAAAGGGGGACTGTTGTGCCATATGCCATGATCATACTTTTTGGACATTGGGAAGCAGTGTCCATATTTCATCCTGATAGAATTACCAGAGAAGAAAACGCAGCTTTG